GAATTAAAAATAATATTATTGAGCCTCTGTCAAGCGTTATATCTATTTATTCAATGAGTTCAATTAATTCAGTAATGAACTTTACACAAAATTTAAATTAATTTCTATTTATCACATACTAAAAATAATGAGCGTTTGAAGTGAAGAAAGTACAATTTTTCATTGATGCACCTATAGAATAATGATAACATATAGTGTGTCTTAATGCTTTGTTTATATAACACAAATGATGTCACATCAAAATATATGCATGGCCGTGAAATACCATTTTTACAGTCGCAAAAGCTGCAAGGGTAAGTGATAAAGCAATTTTACATTATATATTCTTGCATTTAAATTAGTTTTACTCATGCTGGAAATTTCATCTGCAGATGAATCACATGCTATACAATGATGCCATCACATTTTATGAATTAACTTGGGTACCAGCTAATGGGCAGCAACTTGGCATGCCTCATTACCCCCTACATCCACCCCCAAATAGGAGGGGTTCCCTCTGGATGGATTTTCTGATTCAAACTGTAACATATGACAGATATTATTGATATTTTAATCATGGTATGTTTTTATTGTTCCATCCAAACTTTACCCTTAAAAGCATGCTGAAATTTCTGTAATAGATTTAACCTGTAAAGTAACTTGAAAAAGAAATTATTTGAATATCTAAACATTCTGTGCATTTTGAAAACATATTAGTTTACTCATAACAATGACTTCATGCTCATAATTGTCAGATTATCGGGTGCCATATTGCAAAATTTGTTATAATTTGGCTACATCCCCCCAACCCCCCCCCCCACCCCATTCCATTAAAAATAAAAAATTTAGAATTCATTAATTAAATATGAAGTAAAATTAATTATAAATGATACAATCTACCATAATTAATGAATTGGAATAAATGAATAAATCATATGGTCTTTTATCAATACTTGCACAATTCCAAGTACATGTATGTTAAGATGGTAAGGATATTCTGGTACTTTTGGTAATAGTTATCTTGTAGTAATAGCTACAGTGCTATATTGTAGGAATACATGTAGCTACATGTATATGGTAGAAATAGCTATATTGTGGTTATAGCATCATTGTAGTAATAGCTTATGTATATTATAGTAATAGTTATAGTGTAGTAAAATCTACATTTCTATATTGTGGTAATCTATATTGTGGTCATAGCTAAATTTTAGTTAAGGCTTTAATCTTGTAATAGTTACATTGAAGTAACAGCTATATTATAGTAAAGCTATATTCTGGTGCTGGCTTTAATTTGGTATATGTTATTTTGTAGTTATATATTTTGGTAATAAGTAAGCATCATATATAACAAACCTGAAGCTTTTTCAGGATACAACCCTGGATCAGGATTTGTCTGGTACCCTGCATATCCCTGTTGTGGTGCAGGAGGATATCCTGTCTGTTGTGCAGGTGGCTGGAATCCAGGTTGTGGCTGGTACCCAGGTTGTGGTTGGTACCCAGGTTGTGGTTGGTACCCAGGTTGATAAGCTGGTTGAACAGGCTGGTAACCAGGTTGATTTTGCATTGGATATCCTTTAAAAACATGAATTGAAAAGGTTTTATAATTTCAAATATAGAGATAGATACATGTCACTATACAAACCCCTTCAGCAAGCAATCTAATGAGACATTCTTAAATCAACATTTTTTTTTAAAGTTTGTCTTTGAAGTTCAATATCTTCATATTGTATCATAGTTGGGAGACCTTTCTGTTGAAAATGTGTCAGGGTTAAATCGTAAACATATACATGCACAGTACGTTAACTGGATTCAGGTATTAGTTACCCGTACTCAAGAGCATGCCTATTGATTGGCTCATTTTTGCTAGGTTTAACTTATAGTGACTGATGACAGAGAAAGGGAAAGCAATAGATATATCATATTCAGATGCTTGTCCATTGGTTACTTTTTTTTCTGGGTTTTTTTTCTGGGGTTTAATATTGTGACAAAAGGGAATGTGTATTATGTTTGACTATGATACAAAAGGGAAAGAACATCAAAACACTCGGCAATTTGATTAAAACTCGGGGGCTATGCCCCCTTGTACAAAACAGATGGCCTTGTGTTTTGATGCTCTTTCTATTTCAGATTATATTTATATTAACAAGATATGTTTGTAAAACATGTATGCCCCCTATCGGCAGCCAATTAGTCATGTGATCAGGTTATTATGCAGGACTTCTGACCCAGTGAACAAACAATTAAAAAGGGTTATCAGTTATCTAGTATCTACTGGTCATGACTTGTCACAAGGTTAAAATAATTGTGACCCCAAAGGTTGTGTGAAGCAATTAAGGTTATTACAAATCTTACCAAATAATATATGCATAAATTTTATGAATCATGTTTTTTGTTTGTTTGTCTCATTTTACGCCTTTTTCAACAGTATTTCAGTCAAATAGGCGGGTAGTTTCCTAATCATCGTTCCTGGAGAGTTACACCAGTACTAGACAACCTTCCTCCACGCTAAACTACCAAAGCATCTCCCGGGAATAGAACCCACGCCAGAGAGGTACCTGGATTAGAAGTCATCGACTCTAACCCCTCGACCACGGAGGCGCTATGAATCATGTAGGCCTCATTAATGACAGCCAAGTTGTTATATTGAAATATAACAACATGAATCATGTAGGCCTCATTAATGACAGCCAAGTTGTTATATTACATAAGACCTTCAAATGTGTATACCAAAAGCATTTTTAGTTTAATATAAAAATATCAACCAAGGCAACTTGAGTTGTTGAGTTATTGGTCAAAAACCGTTGTTAAGTACAAGGGTCAATATGACATTGACCCCTTGACCCCAAAATCAATGTGACCTTGACCTTCGACCCCTTGACCCAAAAATCAATAGGGGTCATCTGCTGGCCATGACCAATCATCATACAAAGTTTGAAGTTTCTAGGCCTAAGCATTCTTTAGTTATTGATCGGAAACCGTTTTTACCTACAAGGTCAATGTGACCTTGACCTTTGACATCTTGACCCAAAAATCAATAGGAGTCATCTGCTGGTCATGACCAATCATCATACCAAGTTTGAAGTTTCTAGGCCTAAGCGTTCTTTAGTTATTGATCGGAAACCGTTTTTACCTACAAGGTCAATGTGACCTTGACCTTTGACCCAAAGATCAATAGGGGTCATCTGCTGGTCATGACCAATCACCATATCAAGTTTGAAGTTCCTAGGCCTAAGGGTTCTTTAGTATTTGATCGGAAACCGTTTTTACCTAAGAGGTCAATATGGCCTTGACCTTTGACCCCAAAATCAATAGGGGTCATCTACTGATCATGACCAATCACCATACCAAGTTTGAAGATCCTAGGCCTAAGGGTTCTTTAGTTATTGATCCGAAACCGTTTTTGCTTACAAGGTCAATGTGACCTTGACCTTTGACCCATTGACCCCCAAAATCAATAGGGGTCAGGCCATCCTTAAAAAAATGTTTGTTTGCAGTAACCCGACCTAGAATTTTCAAGGTGGGTAGGTAGGTCAATTTTTTTTTTTTTATTGAAGTGCACTCCCAAATAAACATGGAATTTCAAAATGCTGGACAATATATGCTTTGATAATCTGGTAACAATTAATAAATTGATAACTGAATTCTAATTTAATAAGACCTACATTTTATTTCTTCTATTAACCTTTAACAGAACGAAAACAAAGCACAAGGCATAATTTTCTGATTCCAAAAAAAAATTTTTTTATCCAGACCATGAAAAAAAATTTTGAGTAGGGGCAAATTTTGTGAGTCGGTCGCGTTACTGCAAACAAACATTTTTTTAAGGATGGCCTCATTTACTGGTCATGACCAATCACCATACCAAGTTTGAAGTTCCTAGGCCTAAGGGTTCTTTAGTTATCACTCGGAAACCATTTGGTCTACGGACCGACGGACCGACAAGTGCAAAGCAATATACCCCCTCTTCTTCAAAGTGGGGGCATAAAAATTATAGTTTACTTACATTTCCTTCCATGATGATGTTTTGTCAATATATTTCATTATTTTTAATCAGTCATGTTTTATTTAATTTATATTAAAAGTTGTATGCTTCCAAGTGAATAAAAAGAAAAAATAATAAAACTTTATAAGCCTATAAGAAAAGTTTAAGATAAGTTCATTTATTCACAATCTATGTGCACTTTACATGTTGAATATAAGCAATGATTGTATTAACAAATAATCACCTCTTACTGATGGACTAGGGATCATTTTTACACATTTCAGCACTCATAATATTTTTCTGTGAATCTTATATGTCAATGCCTAGATTAAATCACAGTTGAACACCAGAAACTGTGTTTGAGACACTTTCTAATTTTCATTTATAAAATGAAGCATTTCTTACTATGCTGCTTTAATACCTGATAAATGTAGAAACCATCTCAAAGAAAACATTGTTTTGACCTGGTCTTACAATAATAATAAAATTAAGACAGTGATGTTATAAATATTATAACAATTTAAGACCTGTGGTTGTTGTTGTTACAGCTGCAGCTTGTGGTGACCTGTACACGGTACCAGCCTGGTTGCGTCGTCGACGGCAACAGACAAATATAACAACTACAGTTATGATGATGACTAGCACAACAATCCCTACTATCACACCAATTATCACATACACACTCGTAACTACTGCATCAACTATCTCTGAAACAATCAAAAATGTAAAATTCGATGATTGTGTCCTGTTGGACTTAAGCCAAACTTGACACAATAAAGGTCATAAAGCTAAGTCACATGAAATAATTCAAAGTCCATTGCAATCTTAATACATAGAAACTTGTGATGGTTTGAATTCAATAAACTATTAAATTATAGTGTTCCAAGCAAACAAAAGAAAGGATGGCAGAGTAAGTTAATATAACTGACTTAAATATTTGAATTATTTGTCATTTGAATTCTTTGTAGCTCATCAGTTTGCATTGAATTCTACAAAATAACGTTAAAATAATTCATATTCAATAAATTCAATATCATACGGTTTCCCTTGCTGTAGACCTTCAACTCTACATCATCAGTATTTGACCAACTTCCTGTTTTACTGAATACGATAGTCAAAGTTGAAAATGATGTGCAGTAATCAGACCATTGCTTATTTGTGCAACTGTATGTCTGAAATAAAAATCATTAACATGATGAAACAATTTAATATTCATGTTCATCTTAATATTAACCCTTTTAAGACTGAAACATTAAATTACTATACATCAAAGTTCTTTGCAATTTTAATTCTTATTAACAAGAATTTTAACAAAGGTTGTGTTTTGGTTTTACCCAGCTTAATATACAAGCTTATAAAGCTGTTAAACTGGCTGTAGAGCTGTAATTGATTCAGTGCAAAGCATATTAATGATATATGGATATCCGATGACAAATATCAGCAATATATCGGTATATCTATATTTAGTAACATTATTTACCTGTAATGTCATTCCCTTTCATACCAGTTTAGAAGATTTTAGTTAAAAACATGTTCTGTTCAGTGTCTAGTTTATAAAAGCCCATTGCATGATTTTTTTCCAGACCATACTTTTTTTTTCATCATTGCTGTGAAATATTTCAACTATATCAGTGGCGTAGCTGCCTATACGCTAAATAAGCACGTGCGTACAATTCATTTTGGGAGGTGAAAAATTAGAAAATCATTTCAATGCCAAAAAGGGCTTGAAAACTAGTGCTATCCGACCTGCGGTCAACTTATGCAATACATGAAAAAACCCATACTGATTGTGTTATGTTATAACAGGGCCTTTCAAATAGAAAGGTCAAAATTATAATGTACTAGATTCTATTTTTACATAGTTATATAAAATTATTCATTTGATTTTTATGTAAATATAGGTACCTCCGTTTCGTTTTTAAAAGTGATAAACTTTTGTATTAAACTTGCCTCATATTTAACTTGAATACGAGCTCCTTCCGTAAAATATTACGAAATAATACACTAGCTTTTGATAAAGTTTCAATTCTTTTTAATTTTATGAATAAAAGAAAATAATGCAAACATTTTGATAATATTGACATGTCATATATATCACAAAAAACATGTAAGACAATATGTCAAAATGAAAATTCTTGAATTTTAGGTATTGTAAATGTGATATCTATTAGTGACATAAGTTTTATTTTGAGCGGAATATGACAAGTTCTTAATATTAAAACAAAGTGATTTGACTAAATTTAAATGTGAATAAATATAACAAAATATGTGTGCAAGTTCCGACAGTTATGGATATGATATGAGACATACAAGTTCAATATGTTGCATCAAGTGAGCGTCTGAAAATCAGTCTGTTGCAAATTGTTTCAACAATAAATTCTGGAAGGATTACATTTTTCTTGCAAACATAATTGAAGTGAAATGACTCATTTTTAACAATTTGAAGTGAAACAAGAGGGCCATGATGGCCCTGAGGTCGCTCACCTGTATATAGCCCCCCCCCCCTGGGCCAATTTTTACCCAAGGGCTTTTATTTGAACAGACTTGGTAAACACCCATAAGAAGATGTTTCATGCTAAACATCCAAGTTCTAGCTCATTGGGTTTTTTAAAAGAAGATTTTTTAAGTTTTTACTATACACATATAGTTAAAAACAATGACACCCCTGGGGCAGGGCCAGTTTTGACCCCCGGGCTTTTATTTTGAACAAACTTTGTAGATATTTACTTAAAGATGTTTCATGTATAATATCTAAACTCTAGCTATTTGGGTTTTTTCAAAGAAGATTTTTAAGTTTTTGCTATACACATATAAGGAAAATCAATGACCGCCAGTGCGGGGCCAGTTTTGACCCCAGGGCTTTTATTTGAACATACTTGGTAGACACCCATTAGAACATGTTTCATGCTAAATATCTTAGCTCTAGCTCTTTGAGTTCTTTAAAAGAAGATTTTTAAAGTTTTTACTATATGCATAAAGGGAAAATCAATGACCCCCTGGGGCGGGGCCAATTTTGACCCCAGGGCTTTTATTTGAACAAACTTGGTAGACACTCATTAGAAGATATTTCATGCTAAATATCTTAGCTCTAGCTCTTTGGGTTCTTTAAAAGAAGATTTTTTAAGTTTTTACTACATGCATATAGGGAAAATCTATGACCCCCTGGGACGGGGCCAATTTTGACCCCAGGGCTTTTATTTGAACAAACTTGGTAGACATTCACTAGAAGATGTTTCATGCCAAATATCTAAGCTCTAGCTCTTACGGTTCTTTAAAAGAAGATTTTTTAAGTTTTTAATATATGCATATAGGGAAAATCAATAACCCCCCAGGGCGGGGCCAATTTTGACCCCAGGGCTTTAATTTGAACAAACTTGGTAGACACTCACTAGAAGATGCTTCATGTCAAATATCTTAGGTCTAGCTCTTTGGGTTCTTTAAAAGAAGATTTTTTAAGTTTTTACTATATGCATATAGGGAAAATCTATGACCCCCTGGGGCAGGGCCAATTTTGACCTCAGGGCTTTTATTTGAACAAACTTGGTAGACACTCATTAGAAGATGCTTCATGCTAAATATCTTAGCTCTAGCTCTTTGGGTTCTTTAAAAGAAGATTTTTTAAAATTTTACTATATGCATATAGGGAAAATCAATGTTCCCCTGGGGCGGGGCCAATTTTGAGCCCAGGGCTTTTATTTGAACAAACTTGGTAGACATTCACTAGAAGATGTTTCATGCCAAATATTTAAGCTCTAGCTTTAACAGTTCTTTAAAAGAAGATTTTTTAAGTTTTTACTATATGCATATAGGGAAAATCAATGACCCCCGGGCCGGGGCCAATTTTGACCCCAGGGCTTTTATTTGAACAAACTTGGTAGACACTCACTAGAAGATGTTTCATGCCAAATATCTTAGCTCTAGCTCTTTGGGTTCTTTAAAAGAAGATTTTTTAAGTTTTTACTAATATGCATATAGGGAAAATCAATGACCCCCTGGGGCGGGGCCAATTTTGACCCTAGGGCTTTTATTTGAACAAACTTGGTAGACACTCATTAGAAGATGTTTCATGCCAAATATTAAGCTCTAGCTCTTACGTTCTTTAAAAGAAGATATTTAAAGATTTTTTCTTTCGGTTGCCATGGCAACCAGAGTTCTGCATGAAATGGAATTCTTTGAACAATCTTGATAGAGCTTCATACAAAGAGTATTCCTGCCAAGTTTCATTAACATTGGCCCTTGCGGTATCATAGAAGATGTCCTTAGAATATTTAAAATGTGGACGGACGACAGACGACGGACGCTATTTGGTTGGCCATCCTAAAAGCTCACCTGCACTTTGTGCAAGGTGAGCTAAAAAACAACACCGAAAATAGTAGCAAGAGTGATCAGTAATCACATGTGTCGCCTCATGATGGCCAATTTCATTTTGGGACAAACTTTTAAAACTAGAAATTATTAAAGGGCCATTAAACTCTGACAAAAATCACTGAACCGGAAAATGATGACAATATGCACAACTAGACTTGGTTTTTTGTTTCCTTTTCCTTTTAAAATTTTTGGGTAAATTTTGCAAAATTATTTAAATTGGGGGAGAAAGTCTGGACAAGTTTTTCCCGTATCTGGAAAAACCACAAAAAAAACCCATTTTTTTTTAAAGGGCCCATAACTCGGCCAAAAAAATATTCAACGAAAACCCCTTGAAAAATATGCGAAAAGGACTTGGCAAATAGATCAACCTTTTAAATTTCATTAAAATTTTGCATTAGTTTTAAAGAGAAGAAAGCCCGGGAAAACTTTAAAAATTTAAAAAAATTTTTTGAAGGGCCTTTAATTGCCAAAAATCTTTTTGAACCGGAAAAATGCTGCCAATAGGGCCCCAACAATTTAAGACTTGGTATTAAAATAAATTTTTTGTAAAGTTTGGATGAAATTGCCCATAGTTTTTTTAAGAGTAGTCCCCGGACAAGTTTTGTGACGGACAGACGGACAGACAGACAGACGACGGAGGAGTGATCCCTATATGTCGCCACTACTCCATAGAGGCGACACAAAAATGGTAATACTCAAAAATTACGTTGCTAGTACGTTTACCAAATATTAACTTGTGTGATTTCTTTTCATAAATATCTGCCAATTTTATCATGGATGGAACAAGATCCTAACCTCTCCTTTTGCTTAATACAAAATTTAGTTCACAGAGATTGATTAAATAAATAAAGAATTAACATTTATTTAAATACGATTGAAGCAATGCAATGCGAAATAGCCCTCGCAAATGTGATGGAGCCAACACAACCATTCAATAAGTGTAGAAATTGTAGAATTATGCCGATTAATAGTCATGCATATACTAAAACAGAATTCCAAATGCATTGAGATACTAGCTAGTTTCTTCAGTATCCAAGAAGTAGTGTACAAGGTTGTTATATATCGATAGTGCGCTATTTTCAAAAACTTTTTCATCACTAATTAGATGACTTTTAAGAGCAAATTTCAATGTTATTTTAAATTGTTTACTAGATGTAGAATGCTTTCAAAAAGAGTGTTTTTAATCTAGGTTATTTGGTTTGGTGTTTTTTTTGGTCATTGTTGGGTACATATTATTCCAACTCTTTCGTTTTGATTTGAACATTAAACGTAGCATTGCTTGAGCGAAATTCATAGTGAATGAAAAATCCAAAACAACAAGAAAGATGTTCTACTTGGCATAACATTCTCCGATTTTTTGAAAAACAAGCTTTAAATCGTATAGTCTAAAAAACTGTTATTACCATTTTCAGCTAGCTCTACAACGGTAGTATCGAGGACTCTCATTTTAATTAGAAAGAGCCAGCGTTCAGTATCTCCCTGGGTGAAATCTTAAGTCTTTAATTAAATTACCCTTTTTAAGGATTTAAACCACATTTATGTGATATAAAATGATTGTGAAATTGTATAATTGAATCATCCTCAAATGACTGAATCCGTGGAGCTTTCGAGGGCTTCTCCCCCTGAACCCCCATCAGGGCTCTGCCTTGGACCTACGCGGCCAATTAAACCTCCTGCGTGAAAATTTGTGCGTATATTTAAGATTGCCCTAGCTACGCCCCTGTATATAACAACAGCATGATGTTATATATGGACACCTGCTTCAGAATATGTTTTGGGTGAATATTCGTAACTTCTAGACAATTAATTAATTACTCAAAATTATCGATTTTTTGAAAAAAAGTATCGGTTATTAATTGACGGAAAAACATCAACGATACATCAATATTGTCTCTATTGATGACAGCTCTATTTGGCTGGCATCTTATGGTTTGTAACCAGGTATCTCTGCTGGTCAGACTATGTATCTGCTCTATACTGGTATTAACAGTTCATCATATTTACCATAATTTTATACCATAAATCAGGCACATTTTACTTTATAATAAGACTGCAAGAAAAGAATTAAGTAAACATTCTGAGGGGCAAATTAAACTTAAAGCAGTTGTAGTGGAGGGTGGTCAGAAAATAAAGAATTTATCAAAATAAGATACTTTTTCACCAACATACTTACTTCATCAGGAAATGAAGATAAATATGAACCTCCATGATATTCTACTGTGGTATCACAACTAGACACTTTAAACTTTTCAGCAGAGGAACAAATATCATCCGTGAAATCTTTGAGCTTTATAGTAAACTTGCACTGCGATATACTAGCTCCTTTGTAGATGAGTTTCAAAGTATCATCATCGTTCAATGTATATGTACCATCACACTTAGATGAAGAAACTATTATTTCAGTACTCTTGCCTTCTGAAATTGAAACGATAATGAACAAGGTGATAGCACTCTCTAATTCACTTGAATGAAAAACTGTTACTGAGTTTTATCCCATACTCAACATTATGTGAACATATGAATGAACAAAAGAAAGAAAATCAAAATTTTCTTTTGACTAAGATTCCATTCAAAATTTGGTCCCTATTGTGTTTCTCTTTTGATTTGACCTGCTGCTCTATAATTAAACTGTTACTGTGGAAAACCAGAACCAGTTTTTTTAAGGCTACTCTTACTTTCATTGTCGTACTGTTAATACAAAATACACTTTAAGATCTTATCAGCACAAGCAGTGTGTTTTTTAAACATTACCACATGTACAGGTGTAAACATATAGAGATTAATTGATTTATATTGACATATTTAATATCGTATCAATTGGTCATTCTAACAGATTCTCCCCCCTGATTTTATCTTACCATTAGCTGTAAAAAGCATTCCCACAAGCAGCAATACACATATTTTGTCCATTTTCTTCAGTGTAAATGGTTACAAAGAAGTTTTGACACTCTGAAAATAAAAAACAATAAAGTGTTACAATAATTATAATGTTTTAATCTTTATGAAGAAGTTCTGTTTGTATTCAGTTTTGTCCTGCTTTGTGTCTACAGTGTTTTATTTAAAACATAAATAAACATGAGCTTTGTCATGCCATTTAAAATCACCACTGTGATGAAACAGAATTTTTTTAAATTGTCATTTTTTTTAAAAATAAATTTGAAAGAATTTGATATAAAAATTGCACACAATCCTTCCATATTTAAGCTAAAAAAGTAAATTTAAAGAAATTTCTTAACAAGGTCCAGGGCAGATCAAGCTTAGCAGGTACAAAATTGTCAGATAAGTGACCTTGACCTTTAGCTGGCACAATTATGGCATGGGCTCTGCACATCACCCTATAGAGTTGAACATTTGATCCCAGTTAAAAGAAAATCCTTCAAAGGTTGTAAGATTCACAGAGTAACCATGCTATAGACATTACGCCAGAGAAGAGATTCCTCCGCCCACTGATTCACGTGACCCCATCATTCAGAAACTTAGACAAAACATGGTACCGACGTTTACAGGAAACCATTATGCCACTAAAGTGACTTAAATGAATTTACCTTATATAAATTAGTATATATAAAATTTAAATGCTTTTCTTGGATAGTTCCATGTATTATGGTATTTAAAAAAAGTAACAAATAACTGCATTCATGCATTAATTATGAATAAAACGTTTGGCAAAGATCTTGTTATATTTCTCGTTGACTTCAAGGAAGATATGTTTCTGACAAAATATCATTTAAGTTTACAAATTCAAAGATAGTTAAAATTGAAGTAGCGGAACATATTAATAGTAAATTTATATCAATGAAACAGTAACATTTACAAATGTTTTAAGGGTTTTATGTACAAACTCACTTGTATATTATGCATTTGTGCATAAATTGTTAAAATTGAATGAGAAAATTGCCCTTGCGTAACTTTGTAGTATGATATATGATTATATATATTTGTACATTAGATATTTTTTGTGATAAAACACAATATTATTCACTTCAAAATAAGTTTCACATACACCAGACGGTGACACCTCGGTTTTAATTTAAAACCGTGATCAGGTATGATGTTATTGAAGCAGATCATGAGATGTGTTATGTATGGAACATATTACATGTATATAATTTATATCTGACCAGTTGGTTTTTCCAATATTATCATTGTTCTATTTTTAGAACATAAACTACATGTATGTACTAGAACTTTCTTAATTGTTGTAGATAAACTCATGCATTATATTTAGTTAGAAACTTCCGGACTGTTCTTTATTGTTGAAAGTGCTAGATTATGATTACACTAGAACATAATAGACTATTCTGGAATGTTCCTAGTTTATATATATTACGGCATATTTTTCTTTTCTTTTACCTTTTAAGTCATCAGTGATCTTTAAGTCATCAGTTACCTTTTTAGTCATCAGTAATCTTTTAAGTCATCAATATATTTGGAGTATTATTCAACTTGGAAATTAAGTGATTTATTGGAGCTTGGATTATTAATTATTCTTGTGGATTTTATTGTGGGAATTTATTCTAAAGTGTTCTTGGATTTAACTTGGATTTAACTGTGCTATTCAAAAAGGATCATTCCAGGATCAGACTAGACATTTGTAATTTTTCATTTTCATTTGGACTTCAGGTATTTGTTAACATAATTTGTTATTTTATTTTTCTTTAATAATTTTTCTGTAATAAATTTTGTTATTGTTACAAGTTTGTTGCTGGCTTTTTCTTTCTCGTTACGCCTGGTCGTAACAGAAAATTGGGGGCTCGTCCGGGAATTGAATATTTCTTTTTGGCCTACATTATTGGAAATTAATTACCATTTACAGTAGAACTTCGGTAAGTCGAAAGTTGAAGGGACTTTGCGTAAAAAACTTCGACACATCGGGACTTCGACTCATGAATCGCTCTCAATTCCTGACAAAATTTCGACCCGTGACTAGTCCTAATTATAAGCTCTATAACGAAACATATTTCATGTTTTTTCCATCATTAAATCTTATCTTTAAATTTACAATGATAAATATAGCATGTCAAATTACGTTTTTCACGACTACAAAGAGTTACAAAAGGCGTAGATTACGAAAGGGCGATAAATAAACCAGCTTATAGTAAATATTTCGCGTGTTATTCTCACGCGACACCGGGTCAAGGATGTTTTCAAATGAAAGTAGTGAAGTAGTTTTACTGTTTACTTTCAAATACCACTATGGCAATTAAAAAAAGTTACGATTAAAGCATTTTATCACACATTTTTATCGCAAACAAAAGGCTGTTTGAACACACGGCTTGTGTTATTAACACCTATCACACAAGTTGATTGGCAATCGTCTTCGCAGCCAGATAAGGTGTGAAAAATGTCTCGAGGTCAAAGGGTGTCAAAACAATCCAACGACTTCGACTTATTTGTGGTAAATTGCACTACGATTTACTTTATACGGACCACGAAAAAACCTCGACACATCGAAAAATTCGACACATAAAATTTCGACTCATAAATAGGTTTTTATAAGGAATATATAGGGGGGAAAGTCGGGACTTTCATTTTTATTCGACACATCGAGAAAATCGACTAATCGAAGTTCGACTCATAGAAGTTCTACTGTATTTTACATTTTATTGTTACCGTATTTACTCATCTGAGTTGATATCATAGTTGTTCTATTAAGTGTACCTTTTATTTTGAAATTTTTGAAACACATCACTTTCTGAGTTTAAAACCAGCAATAAGCAGTCATGTCTTTTAATTTAGAAAAGTTTGTAGCTGAACCTTCCCAGGAGGTATTAGATTTGGCTAAGAAAACTGATTTGCTCGATCTTGCAAAAAAGTATAATTTATCAGAAATTAAATCTTCAATGCGTAAACAAGAAACTAAAAATCTTCTGATTCATTATTTTGTGGATGAAGATATTTTTGGACAAGATGCACTTTCTCTGATTGTTGAAACAAACCCAGAAATTAAGATAAAAGAGCTTGAACTTCAATTTAAATTTGAACTAGAAAAAATGAAATTAGAAAAAGAAAGGGAAGAAAGGCAGTTACAGTTAGAAAAAGAAAGGGAAGAAAGGCAGTTACAGTTAGAAAAAGAAAGGGAAGAAAGGCAGTTACTGTTAGAAAAAGAAAGGGAAGAAAGGCAGTTACAGTTAGAAAAAGAAAGAGAAGAAAAAGAAAGGGAAAGGCAGTTTGAAAAAGAAAGAGAAGAGAGAGAATTTCAGTTAAGAATGAAAGAATTAGAAATCAAAGAGAGAGCAAATCAGTTTGAACATAGAATAAATTCAAAATTTGATGTCACTAAAAATATTAGGCTTGTTCCACCTTTCCAAGAAAAAGAAGTTGATAAGTATTTTCTTCATTTTGAAAAGGTTGCTGAAAATTTAAAATGGCCAATTGAGCACTGGACATTACTTTTACAGAGCGTCTTAATTGGTAAAGCTCGTGAAATCTATACACAACTTACTGTCGAACAAAGCTCTAATTATGATAATGTAAAAGAATTAATTCTGAAAGGTTATGAGTTAGTACCAGAGGCCTACAGGCAAAAATTCAGAAATTCTAAGAAAGAAATTGGTCAAACCCATGTCGAATTTGCAAGAGAAAAAGAACAACTTTTTGATCGGTGGTGTCTATCTAAGAAAATAAATAAAAATCATGAAAAGCTCAGACAGCTCATGTTAGTTGAAGAGTTTAAACGTTGTATTCACTCAGATGTTAAATCTTTCCTAGATGAAAAACAAGTAGAAACTTTAGAAGAAGCTGCCCGTCTAGCTGATGATTATTCTTTAACCCACAAAGTCTCATTTCTAAATAAAGGGAAGTCCACACCCTCATATTTTAATTCCAAGTTCAGTTCTGGTAATTTATCTGGCTCATCTATTCAGTCAAATACTCCCAAACCAAAGTCATCTGATGAACATAAAGGTCATAGTCCCTTATCTCGTCCTACATGCAATTATTGCAAGAAAACTGGACATCTTATTTCTGATTGCTTTACCTTAAAAAGGAGGCAACAACAACGTGATGAGGCCAAACCCACAGGTCTTACCACTTCAAGGTCTGAACCTCAGTCTTGTATTGAAAATAATGCAATTTTGAAGGTTAAAGAACCCAAGTCTGATTCTATAATGGAGATTTATGAACCATTCCTTTCGGAAGGTTCCGTGTCACTTATCGGTGATACTTGCCCACCTACTCCTATTACAATTTTAAGAGACACAGGAGCTTCTCAATCTCTTATTTTAGCAGATACACTGCCTTTTTCTGAGAAGACTTCTTCTGGATCTAGTGTCCTTATTCAGGGTGTAGAGTGTGGTTTTTCTAATGTCCCTCTCCATAATATTTATTTGTCCTCAGATTTGGTAACTGGGCCGGTGGCTGTAGGTATAAGATCTTTCTTACCCTTTAAAGGTGTTCATTTATTGCTAGGTAATGACTTAGCTGGAGATAAGGTAGTGGTTAATCCACTTGTAACTGACACTCCTTGTGTGGATCAGATATCTGACCCCATTGAGCAGGAAATTCCTGACCTTTACCCTTCATGTGCAGTTACTCGAGCTATGGCTAAGAAGGCCATTCAAGAAGATAATTATTGTTCAGATATTGACTTAGCTGATACTTTTATAGGTCAGTCTTTTGATAATGAAATCAATTTTTCTCTCACTCCTACTCTGCCTGAAACTCAGACAGATGCTTCAATATCTGACTTTTCTACACCAAGATCTAAAGATCAAGGTCATGACACGCTGTCAAGGTCACAGCTTATCCAGGAACAACAAAATGATCCTGAGATTTCAGTCCTTTATCAAAAGGCTTTTAATGAAGATGAAGCTTTACAAGTCCCTGTTTGTTATTATGAAAAGAATGGGATTTTAATGAGAAAATGGCGACCGCCCGATGTCCCTGCTGAAGAGGAGTGGACAGTTAATCACCAAATTGTGGTCCCTAAATCATATCGCCAGGAAATA